GGTCTGACGTAGGCCCCATAGAGTATTTGGAAGTCCATGCTAGTAGTACGGGAGAAGGTGCGTCGGATCATCCGTAAAATGGCGAATGCCTTTTGGTCCTATTTCTTATGGTGCAGTGAGAAGGACAAGTTTGAGGAGACCCAGATGCCCAAATCCTTTTTATCATCTATTCTCATGATGTTTTCTGGTCCTTTCTCACCATGCACGACAAAGGCATTCGCTGAGTCTGCTCCAAACGACATATGGACGCACCTTTCATCATTCAGATGAAGGTCCAGTCCAACGACCGCTGCTTGACAGCGTCTACATCCATTTGGAGGGCACTGGCATTGGAACTCCAGGATTTCAAGCCATCCGCAAAAAGTAGACATGGACTCGCAAGAACGTCTGGGAGGTCGTTGACGTAGATTAGAAACAGGAGTGGTCCAAAGACGGAGCCTTGAGGAACTCCAATGGAGACCGGTGCTGGGGCCTATTCTCACTCGGAATGATCTGTCTGATAGGATCGCGTTGATCCAGCGAAGGATTTTACCTTGAATCCCGTAAGACTCGAGTTTGTGGAGCAACGGGACGTGTGGGACCCTATCAAATGCTTTTGAGAAGTCGAAAAATATGGCATCCGATATGAGTCCTTCGTCCTTGGCTTGGGTTAAGCTGTCCATAAACACGAGAATGTATGTCACGCAAGAACGGTTTGGGAGAGACCACAAGCAGACCTATCATCAAGGTGAGCCCGTTGGTAGGCCAAAACACGAACACAAAAGCTACCTGAATGCCGGTTACCAATGCAGCGTCCGAAGCGTTATACATGGGTTCATTTTACTATACTGATTTGCGGATTGAGGAACGAGGATTTCTCCCAAGCTTCCTGGGTCGGGTGTGATCTTGTCGTTCAGTTGCCTCCGTTCACCTGAAATGCACAAACGATGAAAGGATGTAGCGCTACTCTTTAGGTTCGCAGTGCAGGCGTCAAGCTTGCAAGCAATAGGATTTAACCTAAAAAGCGCTTAACAGTGCTTTGAATTGAGTACTAGGTGTAACGTTAACAGCCATCGGATTAAGGTTTTTCCACCAATTACCCGAACTGAGAATAAATGTTGCTGGATAAAATTGTGGGGTATAAACTTGAAAATCCTCTTACCATGTCTCTGCCGCGTGCTAGTTGTGCCAACGGCGAAAAACCGGCTCACCAACATTTGTTCAAACAGAGCGAAAGTATTATGTCTCTTTTGATACGATGGTACTCCAGTGGACGGAGGTCGTGCACCGCGGAATACGCACCATAATCAACGAATTTAAGATCGACTACCTATTTCTTCGCAGCTCTCTTGACGTGCTCAACGAGGGTTACGTCTTTTTTCGTCCTGGGCAGCCTCGTCAGTCGACATTTACCGGGAGCGGCCTGACTTAGGCCTGACAGAATGTCTGGAAGTCCGGCCGAGTAGTTCGGACATATGAAAAATGTATGTAACCGAGTGAGAAGTCATCGTTTCGGGTGGGCTTGATAAAGAATCGGAATTTTAACCGGGCAACGCCTAGCTTTTGGCACAAAAGCTTCATCGTGCCCAGTGTGTAGTTCATCAATTTGGCCAGATATTAGGGCAGACGGAGAACCAACCCGTGAGACATTTTAGTAGTGCACTAGATCAGTGTTGAGTGTGGGCTGTCAGCTCCTGCCGATTAGCCTGGTTGCCTATATGTTGCAGTGATGGTCTGAGAGAGCTTCAAGTGAGTTCCGATCGGGTTTGGTTCTTAAATCTTGATGATTAACCGCGGTTATTGCTGGTAGGTTGCATTGGTCTTCATGGGTCTGAGAGTGACGCGACAGTGTGGTTGAGGAGAAGGAAGGTGGGTGAGGTTAAGTGCATGTAAATGAGGACCACTCCTCCTTGTGATAACCGCATCAAAACACACGTCATCTCGACAAATCCAAACCTATTCTCCCCACGCTTGCCAGTTCCACGACTTGTGTCGCGCTGATACTGGGACGCCTGGCAATTTCTACTGTTGCGGTCATCAGTCTCTGTGGTGTGGACCGTGGTCATCGCTTCAAAACCTCGAACCCCTTTGAGTCAGTTTTATGTCCCGAGTCCAGTGCACGTCCGCCCCATGGCAGAGTATTTCAGTAACGCTTGATATTTATCATCTGCGTCTCCCGGTGGCTTGTTTATTTCCCCGTTGTGATCTTTGTTTCTGGTGAAAAATTCCCTTTCCGTCAGTCCTATATAGACTCTGGTGCAGTCGTTGCACAAGATTTTGTGCACGCTAATTATGTCTGTCCGTGTGCGGTCCCTTCAATGCACGAGTGCCGAGTGCAGAGTGTTACCCCTTGGAGAGCCACTGTCATGATAGCCTCGTTTATAATCCTTCAAGTATTTTTCGATGTTCCGATTCGTATAGAATAACAGCTCTCCAAATCCATTCCGTTGGGTTTGCTACCGGCGAAAAGAGAAAACCTTTTCCCTACGCAGTCATTTATTAGAAAAAACCAACAAAGTAGTTACAAGCTATTGGACAGAAAAATAAGTTTTCCATGTGCACAAAAATTCAAAAAATTGCAGTGTAGTAGTAGAATGCGCCGTTACGCCATACCCAACACCTTTAGTAAAAGGCGCTCAATCAAAATTAATTAACAGAACAACAGGTCGAGCCCTCTTTCATTCAGAATGTTCCATCTAACAGGTATTCTTAATTCAAAATCTAATTCTCCGTTGAATTCAGCAGTGGTAGGTGTAGGGGGTGATCGAATGCTTTCGTGGAACCGAGAATTACTCTATTCGGTACGTGTTCTTTGTGTTGTCTATGTCCGTCACGAAAGAACTGCTTTGGGAGGAATCCGTGTTGTGCTAAGGAACTCAAGTTGTTGACCCTGAGGTTAGTAAAGATGGCCCGCTTCGGAATGCCTTGCATCACCATGCAGTACGTGGTAGCGAAGCCAGTGTCTCTCTTGCGGCAAGGCAATAGGTGGTTACCAAATCTGTAGACTGGCGTGATAGGCGATTCCTTCTAAGCAGAAGGAAAGTTGCCCTCGTTGAGAGGTTTGCATAGCACCAGGTAGAAATAGTTTGCCAGTGTGAGCAATGTTTCATTCAGGAACCTTGGAGTAACCTTGTCTGGTCCGAGTGACCTAAAGGCGCTTGTCTAATGTCACAGTCTGGATGTTCCCCATCATACGGTAAATAAAACTTTTATGATAGTTATCATTGTGTAATGGTTGATGAACGTCCTTCACCATGATGACTAAGTCGGTTGTTTAATTTACTGTTGACAGCCATGGTGAAAAACGAGCAAAGGAGAATCAGGCATAGAATTCAGCCTTTGTGGAGCCCATTTCTCAGTCGGTTGCTTGTACGAAGGTTTCTGACTGTGTTTGGCAAATTCACGCGCACTTGGGGGAGAAGAAAAAGAACGGAGCGGTAAGGGAACTTCGAGGGGATTCCTCGCCGTTATGGCTGTGGAGATGTTTTTAGATGAGCCATCGTTTTATTCCCTTTTTGTGGCATATCTATTGCACACTCATGTGTGGAGAGCGTTGTGTATGCAATTCAGGCACAGCACTTTAGTATAGACAGAATGTGTGTTACATATGGAAAGCGAGGCACACGATTTTATAAGGCGAAATATGCAGCGCAGCTCGACAAGAAAGGCAATTTGGGACGACCACTATCATAAGAGCTATTGGCCTCCTGATGATAACCCAAATACAGTAATTCACTCCAGAGCATAACGAACTTATATAATGCCTAAGCCTGGTAGGGGAGTCATCGCGGTCAAATTTAGGATAAACCAAATAGCGTCCTATTTTCCTTTTTGTCCTTATGGAGGAGTAAGCTTCCAGAATCTCTTCCAGGGCGCTGTTTACATGGTGCACAAATATTAATGGTTGCAGAAAGAACACTCAGAAGCTTCTAGATGATTTACCAAATAAGGAAAAACGATATACCTTTAACCCGTAAGGCTCAACAAGAAGTGAGTTGGATGATGTGGTTTTGCCTGTATAGTCACAAAAATTTCACGTTTGGAAATGAATAAATGTGCCTGAAATAGATCCGAGATTGTAGACTCCGGTTCCACGAGGATCAGTAGTAAGCCTGTAGAGTTAAGGCCATCGTGGTTTGACGACACCCTGGTAATAATACCTAGAGGAACTGGACCATGATCACATAGCTCCATGGGGTGGCGAAAGATGCGAGTAATAACGGCAGCACAGAGGCTGTATCGAAAGCAGTGATCAATGTAATCAAAGCCAGAAATAAAGGTGACTCCATTCAACTGTTCACATAATTTAAGCAAAAAATAGCAGAATGACCCGAAAATTTGGTACACGGGTTGAACGGGTTTTTCCAAGAATACGGGTGGCTGAACCGAAAAATATGGTGGGAGTTGAATTGATCAGCGAATGCTAGAAGGAACATAAATATGAGGGCGCTACTCACGTCTGCTTTGTTCATATTTCTCGGAAAGATGTTTGGAGAATATTCACAGTTTTTGTTCGATCCCTGTTGCCGATCAGATGAAGGAGGCTTCTTTTCGTCCACTATTGTGAATATTTCTGGCAAACCGTTTCTAACGGCCTTGTGCGGGCGCATTGGCCGCTCGCGGTAATTTTTGGGGCACCGAAGCTCCGAGATACCTTCCACCCTGAAGGTTACCACATGACATGCTGTATAACAATGATGCCATATGCAGCATGACGTCTTGCTTTCCGTGTCAGTGTCGTATTTGGAGACGCCGCCTAATTTGAATTAACTGGTAAGGCGGACTAAGTTGGATGGCCTACTTTTAGATGGAGAATCCACGTTTATCCTCTCTTTAACGAGCCAGTGCTACCAAGGCCCTGCCTGGCGGTTGGCTGCTCCTAGCATTTCCCAATTTTCCTCAGTGTTAAAATTAAATCACTGATGTGTTTGCTTCTGATGCCTATGGAACCGCTTCAGCTTAAACTTTCTGGTTTGTCCAAATCGCCGGAACGTCAGCAGACTTGCTACAAAGTACGTAAAGTGGGCTGATTCCAATGGAACTGCTTTCATCTTGTCTACCTCCTTCCCTTGAATGTGTGTTTTATGTCTTTTTGCCATAGTGGCTTGAGGAATCCGACGTACTCTGGACTACGCTAAAATCCAGCTATCTGAAATTTATAAAAGCTTCAGAAAGAGTGCCCCCGATCCCCACATACAAACTACCCGGCAACACAAAGGCGTAACTTCTGGGGATAATGTAGCCCAAAGCATATTTTCTACATACTACCGATTTTATCCAATAAGGAGTATTTCGTGCCTTAGTTACGCCCCGGCATCTCTTACGAAGTAGATGCTCGATAGAATCACATAGCTCGCCGTCACTGGGTCCTCTGACTGTGCACAACGGTGAGGGACTGATTGGCCTAGGGCTGTTCACGCAGAAGCGTATAAAAACCGGATGCAACCCAACCGCGCTTCAGAAATGATCATTATTTGGCTCGAAAGTTGATTATATCACGATAACGCATATTTAAAGGGGACCTTGGTGGCATATTTTGTGCGTTTGCCATGGATTGTGGTCGGGATATATGGTGCTACAAGCTTGAAATGCATTATGGATTCCCCTCCATTATGTGCAACCGCAAGTAGATGTAATCAGCATGCAAAATAATACCACGTACACAAAATAAACGCTGTTTGGAAATTCCCTCCGATAACTATTCGGCAACCTCTAAGGCTCGAATATCTAATCCCCATTATTAGCTGTGGCGGCTAAATTCCTTTCATGCTGCTTAGAGTGACCAAGCGTGCGAGGTAGTCATGAACCGCCCATGCGGTCAATAGAAGCGCACACGGAGAAAGGATATTTCCATCATAAATTCTTCCTGCGAGGCCATACTCTTAATAGAGCACAGGTATTATTTGGATGTTCATTTTATTCAAATGAGCGCACGGATAACAGTTTATGCCGTGTTAGAGATTAGTTTACAGTCACCAGGTGCACCATGCATAAAGTAAATACAGTGTGAAATATACAATAACCCAGGTGATGATCTACTGCTTGGGTATGACCGATAAGGGTTCTTGAGTAAAGATCGGGATGCGGAACGTATTTTTCTTGCATTAAAGTTGCTACGTGTGTTCTGTAATTGTCCACCAACTTACGGGGTTCGGTTGTTTTTTGCATTGCGTACCCCTGTGTAGTCGCGCTGGGATAAGTCGCACGCGCAGTTATTGTGGGTAGGGCAAAGCGAGTTGTGGCAATCCTCGTTTGACACCTGCACAACTTGAAGTCAATTCGAACCAATGTGGATGATGTTCACAAGTATGCCTCGCGATGCAGGCGGTGGCTGTGTAAACGAAGTAGATGAAAAAACGTAGTGCAGGTGTTGTCGGCAAAAATTCAAGTGGGACAGGACTTTATTCACATGATTTGTGTGTGCACGAAAGGTGATGCCTTACAAGCCATGAATTCTTTTATGAAGAACCGCTTAATGTCCTTGAAATTTTCCATGTATACACAAGCTGTACACCTTCGCTGTGGCAGGTGGCACTGGAATCAGCAATCTTCCGTTAATGGGGGCATTTGTGATTTACCATCGTATTGACTGCAGAAACGTAGGAAACACCACTACTAACGATTGGTTTTTGATACAAACCCTCAAATATTCTTATCAACCAACGTGGCTGCCCTGATGTTCAGAGGCCACACGTTTACACAACTGTGCCATGGATATTGCCACTGCCATTGCCCGTTGTGTGGAGATTTACATGTGCCCTTACCAGGTGAGTGCCATATGGCACTGAAAACACTTTCTTTAATCGCCAGTACTTTCCGTAAACGCATCTCCCCTCCGTCAATAGATCAGAGAAAACGACACCGTGGGGTAGGCCACGTCTTTGGAAATCCAACCGAATGCATGCTGTAGGACTGCTGTGGTCAGTTTATTCTTCCCAACCTCGCAAAAATTGATAAAGGTTAGCGGAAATCTAGTCACATATGTAGGCTTTCTAGACCTTGCTATGGAACCACGAGGCGACGAAGATTTCGTCTGACTTCAAAATTACTGAATACATCAATGCCCCTGGCTTTACACTCGAGCTTGTGTGCTGACGTGAGCCCTCAGACTATACTTACGTGAAGTTCATTCCGGAAGTTTCAACCACACTAAGAATGCTAACCGATGACAGCCAAGCCAATAGCCAAAAAAGTTAAATGTTTGCATTTTACTAAGTGACATTTGTTTACTCGCAAAAAATTAGTGCTAGTAGGACCCAATACAGATGTCGGATACGACACGGGATAAGTAACTGTAAAATACTGAAACCAAATGATAGTTTACACATGCGAATCTCCCAAATGTATGTAGTTTCGTTTCCTGCTCTAGCGGGGTAAACTCGGCGCCAAATACTCGCCTACTCACATGTCTGCTAAACCTTGAATTCTTTGAATCCTGAATATCAATTCTTGGTTACAAAGTGAGAACTCTCTTGAGACTGCTTGTTATGCGCCCCCTTTAGATTATTCTTTGTTTGCGTCCAATAAAGAGTATGGTCGATCACTCTTGACACCCCTTAATCAGTGCAGGCAAAGATCATTCTTTGGGGACAGTGGGACCAATGGGGCAAACGGTGCATCCTTATAACTTCAAGATATTACAGCGCTCTTGTCAAAGCTATAAACGGAATCAGAATCATCGTTGAGTGAAGGTAGTTTGTATAAAACGGGAAACAATTGGATCATCCACTGCCCTCCGCCTGGAGCGTCAAATAAAAACGGCATTTTTATAAGCCACAGGTGCGGTCATAGAAGAATAACGATACACAGGTTTGTGATGGTGAAAGGCCATCGTCGGTCAAGGCTATCAACACGGTCAAGGCCTCACAGTGAGCAGAGCTCATACGTGCGGGCCCAGCAGTTGCAATCAACAGCCAAGATAAGCGATAAAACATGTGGCTATGATGGCAAGGAGCCACCACTGGCCAAACGTTCGGGCTATTTTATTGCTCTTTTTGGAGGAACGAATCTTGGTGGCATTCTCTTTATTACTGGCGAAGGGCGCTTTTCGGGTTGGTAGCAAATTACATCATACTGCCTAAGAATGCTGCGTTACCTCCCGACTAATTCCGCATATCTGAGGATCGGGACTGGTCAGGACTATGCGTGGCGGCGCTCATGTGGCATAGCGCATCAAGTTATGTTTAAATATTGTACTTGGAACAGTGTCAGCTTTGCAGATGACGTTACGTACCATGCTTCTTTGAGCCAATTAATTTGACTTGCTACATCTGATTGGTGGAGCAGGTCGAAACAGCATTCGGGTGTCCACCCGAATGGATTTCATCTGAGGATTATTTAAAAGTTGCCGCCATCTTTGAGAACACCGAGGATCGTTAAACTTTACAGCGTTTTGCATTTGTGCCAGTCTGGTACACCAGCAGTAACATACAAACCGGCGGCACTTGGTGACTCTGAAAGTTTTCTCATTTAAACAACGAGCTATGGGCTGTCCGAATAAGAGCCCCCACTTCAAAAGCTCATAATTCTGCTAAACTCAATTTCGGTTTGCTTCTAGTGATCGGTCGCGTGGTCTCTGAACCAGAAGAGCGAGTCACAGCTGCAATTTAATGCAACCAATCAGCTTGTTGACTGTAGGTGAACGGCAGTCGCTGAAACGCAAGCACATCCGACCCCGGAAACTTGGGCGAAAGCCTCGATCACGTGTACCAATCCGTGAGTCCGTTTGTCCGTGGTGCTTGAGTGCCAGGCGTTCCATAAAAGCAATGCTTCAGTTTGAGCTTCAACCGTTACGAATATAATTTCCCAAACCGAACCCAAGCACAATTATGGTGCATTTCGAGTGTGGCTGTCGTAGTATGTACGCTATGCGACCGGAAACTTGGCGAAAGCCTCGATCACGTGTACCAATCCGTGAGTCCGTTTGTCCGTGGTGCTTGAGTGCCAGGCGTTCCATAAAAGCAATGCTTCAGTTTGAGCTTCAACCGTTACGAATATAATTTCCCAAACCGAACCCAAGCACAATTATGGTGCATTTCGAGTGTGGCTGTCGTAGTATGTACGCTATGCGAGGTAGGTATTCACGACAATTTCTCTGGCTGAAAAGCATAGACGAAGCTCATGAGCCGAGGCCCAGTAAGCAAGGTTGTACATCACCAATACTTAATTATAAATCAATCCAACTGACACAGTATACTACAGCTGTTGATAAGAAAATTTGGCAAATAACATTCCCGGCTGTCCATATGGGCGGCTCTCGAGCATTAGTGGGCATCGTTTACACCAGAATGTGGTTATGACAAAACAGCGCGGTAGATCAGCAACTCAATGGCCGTCTGTCTTCAAACATTACTCCCTTTTGATGTATTGGGCAAGTGACAAATAGGTCACAAGACTCCACCAGTTTTGCGGAGAGATCTATCAAATCCACCGTCAGTGCGAACAACTTAAGTCACGTACCCCAGTAAATACGTCACCGGCGTCTCAGGGCGGCCAAAGATGGCAACTCGAAAAATTTTCGCCGAACTTTTTCATTGCCTTTTTCGAAACCCTTTGCAGCCGGACGAGGCTAACGGTGGCAATCACAAATTTGTCGAGGCATATTTGTTGGCTAACGTACTGCCTCTGTGAGTAATCGCTGTGACTGCCTAACCTCATGGCATGCGTATTATTGCCGAACGCCGCATATAGATACCAAACGCGTCGTTCTTACGACAACATGCTGCATGGCCAGAAGATAACAAGGTTGTTGCAAAAATATAAATCTATTAGTGATATCATAACAGCATCGTACATTGTTTCGGATTCGCCGCAAGGCGGCCGTCTCGCGTCGCAGCTTCCGGTTTCCAGGGATTCGATCAAAGGCTCCCTTCAACCAAGACTGGATTGATTTCTCAATGAGATCCACTGCGACACTCGAATGTGCGGCCACGGGGCACATTGCATCTAAAGTGACAAGTGTCAATGTAAAACAGTTACCTCACCCTTTGTGAGTGTTGGCAACTCTGTGCTTGATATGGGTCTTTTTTCGTCTCCCTTCGACCACATCAGACGATCTGCGAACTCCGGAGCAAACACTGCACGCAGCATTTTCCGAACTGAGACCTAGCTCTAAAGATCTCAGCCGCACATACAGCTTCTCCAAGCGACCCAAGGTTTCTTCTAATATTCGATTAGGCAATAAAAGAGTGATATTAACTCACTTCGGAAGGCCTCAGCTTTGACGGCCTCGTTACGCATTTCATCTAGGTATGAATTGGGGTACATGATTGAAGTTTACCTCGAAACGCAGACAGGATGCGCACTATTTTTCTGTTTGAATAGTCTGGCACACGCAATTTATCGGAATCGCTTGTCTCCTCACTGAAGTCGTTGGTTCGTTCCATGACCCGAAGAGGTGGTGGCGAAATCGCGGATGACTGGTGGCCATAAGCCGAACTACATTTAAAATATATATCAAACTGAAATTATGGCCGCACTTACTCAATGGGTGAGGACAACATTTCGGGAGGGGTTGCGTAGGTGAACCTTTTGGAAGTTTTCTGAGATGGGTGTTTCTCAGCCCCTTCACCAAGTGACGAGTACTTTGGGTTGCGTTTTCTGAAAAACGGACCGGCTATTACCAAAAATTACCTCTCGCGGATGCCATAATACAGCCCAAAGTAGGTCTGCGGCTCCGTGTCTGAAGTGCCATCGCTGGGGTTTAGCATTGCACGGAACCGGACTGCCTCAGAGTAAGCTCCTGAAGACGTGTAAAGGCTCAATTAGATTTTTTGTGAAGCGTACCAAACTTCTTGATGACTGCAACGGAGCGCGTGATACCGCTTGAAGGCATGCCCTCTTTGTTTATTAGGGCGCGTTCCATTTCTCCGTAGTCATCAAAGGTTCTCCATTCAATGGTTCTTTCGTCGATAAACCACTCTTCGCAACCAATCGCAACTGCCCGTCATCCAAGAACTTGAAAACTGTGTACATCTGTAAGAGATGCAGGCACGTGAGCAAACTCATCAACAAATTTTTCCAGTGTTTAAAACCGATGGTCAAGGGTACGTTTTATTTTTCAAATATAAATGAATTCATCATTAACAGGAAGTGCGAAACATTTACAAGTGGTGCTACTTAAAGGCCGAATGAAGACACGTTCATTCAGCCGACTAGCACGGAAAATAAGAATATCCCGAGACTGTAACGGAAAAGGAAAAAAACGAACTATATCAAACCTTCTAAAGTGGAAATGGAGGGCCGTAAGTTTTACAATAACACACGGGTCGCCATCAACAAGAATTGCATTGTCTCGTGTCGAGCAAGAGATAAAAAAGAGCGGAAAAGTAAACCGTCGGATAGAACGGGTGCACCTCCTCCACAGTCATCTGTCAGCAAACAGTCCAGCGTGTCAGCAGAAGCTGATGCTGACCGTTCAGCA